AATCAACAATTGGGATCTCATCTTATTAAAAAGCTTTTGCGCAGCAAGAGAAACCACCAACAGTGAAAAGACAACCCACAGTGTTGGAAAAAAGTTTTACCAGCTGTTCTTCAAAGGGTAAGTATCTAAAAGTTATAAAGAACTCAAAAAAGATCAGAACCCCCCATATTTAAAGGCTTAATCCAAAAATGGGCATCTGCAATTAAAACAATAATGAAAAGCCTATAATTAAAAAAGTCCAAGGAATCTATAGATTTCCCATTCAGTTTTATAAGAACATCAGGAAAGGGTTAGAATCAATACTTTTCAAAGGGTTCTGTGAAATTTAAAGAGAGAACACTGCTGAACTCAGGACTGGACACTAGCATTACCCTGATGATGAAAATGGACAAGGATTTTTTTTAAAAATGGGCAACTAGAGTCGGGGATTTAACTCTGTGGTTCTGCCACTTGTCTCTGTACACAAGGACCCGATTTCAATCCCCGGTACAAAAAAAAAAAAGGCAACTAAAATGAATAGACATTTCTCAGATGAAGTAGAAATGGCAAGTAAATATATGAAACAATGTCAACATCACTGGTCATTCATGAAATGCAAATTAAAACAATACTGAGATTCCATCTCACTCCAGAAAGAATGGCTGTTATCAAGAAATCAACCAATAACAAATGCTGGAGGGACCATAGAGAAAAAGGAACCCTTCTCCACTGATGGTGAGAGGGTAGATTGGTCCAATCACTGTGGAAATCAGTGTAGAGATTCCTTAAAGAACTGAAACTGGAGGTTAAATATGATCCAGCTATTCCTGAAAGAATTAAAAGCATTATACCACAGTGATGTATGCAAACCTATATTTATAGTGTAGCACAATTTGTAATAGCTAAATCTTGTAAACAGCCCAAACTCCCATCAAGTGAAAAAGGGTAAAGATGCATTTTTATACAATGGAGTACTACTATGCCATGAAGAAAGATCAGCTTGAGACATCTGTACCTAAATGGATGCACCTTGAGACCATACTCTTTGGGGGTGGGGAGGGTTAACCAGGGATCAAACTTAGGACCTTGTGCTTTCAAGGCAAGCATGGTTCCACTGAGCCAAATCCCCAGCCCTTGAGACCATACTCTTAAGTGAAATAAATCAGATACACATGTTTAAATACCCCACTGTTTTCTCTAGTGTGAGAAATTCAAAGTGGAAATAAGGACCAAATATATAATAGATATTGGGAAATGGGAAGAAAATGTTCAAATGCGAAGGTGATGGGCTGGGGATTTAGCTCAGTGGTTCCACTGCCTGCCTCACAAGCGCAAGGACCCAAGTTCGATCCCCAGTATAAAAAACAAAAACAAAAAACAAATGAGAAGGTGAACAAGGGAAGGGAAGTGGAGAAGGAAAAAGAAAAAAAGAAAACAGCAGGAATAAATGGATTCAAAGCTTTTGCATATAAGGAGGGGAAGAGGAGCTAAATGGGGAAAAGAAGCAATATATATCATGTACAAATTCACTCTGAGGAATGTTATCATTACGTACATCTAAAATGTACCAATAAGTATTTTGCTACCGAAGGAAAAAGAAAAGATTTTATATATTTATAAAAATCATATGAATTATTTTGTTCTTTTCTACTCTACATCCTTGTATTCCTGAAAGTTATGCCTGTCATTGTTTGTAACTATAAATTATCCATTTCATAATTTAACCCTTTGTAGGGGGGTACTGGAGATTGATATAGCACTGAGCTTAGACCTGAATGTGTGAGCTTCAATATCCCCAAATGCTGGGATTAGAAGCAAGCACCGCCACATTCGGCTTATTTATCTGTCTTATTGCTGATAGACATTTAGGTTGTTTACAGTTTTCTACTAAATACCACCATTTGAGCATTCTTATATGTCAGCACTATTTTATTTTTAAGGTAAATGTTTAGATAGGTACTTATATTTCATTTTATAAATATTTTGTATGCTTACAGTTTTTTTAGTTTTAAGTAAAAGTAAATATTGTATACCCCATAAACACAATTTAAAAGCGTGGAAAGTAGCTGGGCACACTGTATACACCCATAACCCCAACACTCTAGGAGGCTGGAGAAGGAAAATTTCAAGTTGCCCAGTCTGGGCAATTCAGCAACTGAGATCACATCTCAAAATTTAAAAATGGGGCTGGGGATTTAGCTCAGCGGTTCTGCTGCCTGCCTTGCAAGCACAAGGACCTGATTCGATCCCCAGTACCAAAAAAAAATTTTTTTTAAATGGGCTAGGGAAAGAGCTTAGTGCAAAGACTTCCATTCCCAGGAAAACCAAAAACAAAAAAAGTAAAATCCATATACTCATAAGAAAAAATTCACATACTCAGGGCCAGGGATGTAGCTCAGTGGCACCTCACCTGCCTGGCTGGCAAGCACAAGGTGCTGAGTTCGATCCCCAGTACTGGAGGAGAGAAAAAAACAAAAAGCATATATTCTATGGTCTAATTCACATTCAATTTTATATAGTAACAACAGCTATCATATTTTTCTCTATCAACTATGTGTCAGGTATATACACACATATTTTACACATTCCTACTTGGGTATGAGCATACACACACACACACACACACACACACACACACACACACACACACACACATACACACACACATACACATACATACGAAGCTAGGGGGAGAGAAAGAAATTTTTTCTATGTCCAGGAACATACTCTGACACACATACACTTTTTATCCTCATAACTCAAGTAGATTTTCTTACTATCCCCATTTTATAGATGAGGTAGGAAGGCAGAGAGAAGTTAGGCAACTCCCATGCTTCCCCTAAGGATAAACAGCAGCAATTGATATTCTAAATATGTATCAAATCACCTAGGTAGGGGACTAAGATCTTACCCAAACCTTGCAGGAAAGATCCCTGACTGAAAATCCTTGTGTGCTTGCTACATGACTTGCTGCTCCATTGGGTCCCCATTTAATCAATATTACCTAAGCAGCTATATTTGTCATAATCTTATTGGTTGATCATGGTTTTGTCCACCTTGTGATTTCTTATAGGATTAATATTACCTAAGTGATAGCACTTGTAACCTTACAAGTACTTAGTTGACTATAGTTTTGTGCCACCTTGAACCAGCCTCACCTTGTGGCTTTGTCCCATAAAACACCTTTGAGAAGGAGGGTGAGCGGCCAACTCATTTTACGGTCCTCCTTCTGTCTCTCTTAGACAGAAGCTATCTTTCAATAAATTTTTCCTACTCTTAAAAAAAAAAAAGCTGTTAGGCAATTTACCCAAGGTCACACATCTAGAATGAGATGGCCTGGATTAAACCTATGTTCAAACCACTACAAAATCAAGCTCTTAACACTATATATTGCCTGCCATATTTAGAGACATGTAATCCTTTTCATGTGTTTTGTATAGCTGGAAACCTGCATTTATTTAAAAAAAAAAAAAAAAGAATATGGTTGGTACATAAAAAGAAAATAATGGAGGGTAACATTAAGGCTATTAATATACAAAAATAATGGAAATAGCATGAAAAATGGAATCACAAGGAATGATCACAGCTTATGCTGTGCTCTCATGTCTGAAGACTCATCAACAGATGATCCTACAATTTGCTTTTTCCTTGTACAAGTTCTTCTGAATATCCATAATTTTGCTATGTACTTTGTGGAATAAATTGCAGAAAGCTAAACTAATCTCAGTACTGGACAAGATCTTGAAAGTACTTTGGTCTAACACGGCAAGGAATGTTTACTTTCTCTTTATAGCATCCTTTGTAATTAATACTAAGCATTTGATTCTAATTTTATAAACTCACAACATTCCAAAGCAACTAATTCTATTTTTCGACAGATCCATTAATGGAAGTCATACTTATACTAATTCAAATTGCTTCTACTTAATTTTCACCAATATTTTCTAAAGAATCAAATTTAACAATTAGCAATTTCCCCCTAAGTTCCTTCATGAAGCCTTTACTCTGCATAGTTTAAACTGTAGCCCCAAGAAACTCCGTATTTCCAATGTAGCCTCATCAGAGTAGTGCTGGACTGCTACTTTCCTCATTCTGGATAATAGCACCTTAGTATTCTATTACTCAATCACATAGGTGATTAGTACTAGGCTTACTGTCTAGTAAATTTCCTTTTTATCCTCTTTCACTGCCAAGAAAATGTCATTCAAAAACTTAGTTTTTATAATTCAGACTTTTCCTGAAAGAAAACAACTTATTACTTTATAACTACTAATAAAACAGCTTTAACAACTCTCTGGCCTGCTAAATTCATTCTTGCAGATATTTTTAAACACCTACTATTTGCCAGATGCTATTCTAAGAATAGTGCATTAAACAAAAGAGGCAAAAAACACTGCCTCATACAGCTATCAATTGTCATCTTTTTTTTATCCCAACTCTATATACTAACACTTTCCATATGTAACCCTCTCGATTTTATGACATCCACAAAATAGAATTAAACTTCTTGCATCTCATTAAAGTCAGATAGGGCTGGGGATGTAGCTTAGTGGCACAGCACCTGCCTGGCAAGTGTGAGGCCCTGAGTTTAATTCCTGGTACTCAAAAAATAATAAAATCAAATAAAAGGGGGTAAACAGGATTAGTGTGAGGTCCAGGGTAAGTCTGAAGTGTACCTATAGCATGCGTTCTGCAGTAGGCTGTTTTTAATTACTAAAAGCTCTAATAGGTTCACCATCACAGGTCTAGGGTATTCCAATAGAAATTCACCTTTATTAATTCATTAAAAATTGTTTAAAACTATTCTTATATTATTCTGCTAGTGAGCTACCTTTGTTCTACGTCAGATTTCTCTATTTCATCCATACCTACATCATGAAAGACTTGTGAAGTCCAATTATACTCCATCTTCCAAATTTTCTTGTCAGGTTTTATATTCTAGCACTTCAGTAATGCAAAAGCCTTGATTCTGCCTTGTATGGCTGTATTAAAATATATCACAAACACAATGATAAACTTACCCCTTTCATCCAAAAGGAGATTTTCTGGCTTAATGTCTCTGTGAGTTATTCCAATACCATGCAGATAAACCTAAGGGGGAGGAAGAGATAGTAGAATTAAGATCTTACTTTACTCATACCGACTTTAAGTAGTAGGAAAAGAAGTTATTGTACTTACCACCCCTGCCATGAGTTGATGGAAGAACCTCTGAGCATCTTGTTCAGGCATGCCTATGTCTGGCTCTGTAAGAATTAATTACCAAAGTGAGTTTACTAGCTAAATTTCATCAGGCATCAACCACACAGATTTTTTTTTCCCCACACAGCTTCTTAATTCAAATCTAGACATTTAGGATTATATTTAACAAATAGAATCTTACAGTAGCAAAAGTTTCAAGAATCCATTAATACAGTATTTAACAACTCATACTTTCCTGTCATTAAATAGCAAAATCGAACTATCAGAAAAATTACAAAGAAATAATCTAACATCCAAATCCAGAATGCAAGTCATGCCTTAAATGCTCCTATTTTATGCTTATATTAAGCTGGATTTATTTGGTATCCTTCAAATTCTCCCTATTTCTTAAAATTGCTATTTTTAAGAATATTCTTACCCTTGTAAATAAGTTTTTTAGGGGCCAGGGTTTTAGCTAAGCAGTTTCACCAACTTCCTCATAAGCGCAAGATAAAATTGCCAATGTGGAACCCTACGGTTTAAGCCAATTTCACCAAATATTGAACAGATTAAAACTTCATAAAATCTCTCACACTACAAAATCATGAATGCCTATGAAGTTCCTTTGAAAATAGCTTTATTAAAAAATGTTCTATTGTCAGTTTTCTTTTACCTTTTATATTTTGATGTCTCTCATCAACTCTTGATTTCTTTTACTCTCAACTCTCCTGACATTCACACTGGCAATCTTTAATTACTTTTTAACTACTAATAAAACAGCTTTAAATAATAAACTCAAATCCACAGATATATTTTATGTAATTTTCAATGTACTGTAATAATCATTTGAGTCTTTGAGTACTAAAAAGAACTATGTATCTATATAAGAATTCTATAAAAGTCAAGTTTTTCACTTAATCAACATGCTGTTATTTTGGATCTGAAAACATGCAATGATTTCATTCTAAAATATCTACAAAGTAAAAAAATTACAGCGACAAATAATATATTGCGTTTATGATACTTCACCATGAAAACAATCTATTATTGTTCAACTCCATAAAACAGCAATCCCAAAAAGCCTTATATAAGAAAAAAGTTTTCTTTCACTGACTTTATACTGGTACACACTTTCTATTAACATAAACTGACATTTAAAAGAAGACAATTTATTCCAATTTTACTGTTTATAAGCAATTCTGAAAGAAAAATGACCAAATAGCTAGCCAAGGTTAAAAATATGTATTTAGAAGCTTTTTTAGCAGAAAAAGTACCTTAAATTTTTTCCATACCTATTCTATCAAAAAGCTCTCCTCCACTACAGTACTCCAGAAATAGATACTGGATATTGCCTTCTCTCCTGTGACCATAGAATTTCACCACATTCTCATGATTTAACATTTTATTGATACAGATCTCTTTCTTAATATTTTCTGGACAATCTATTGCACGCTTCATGTCTACAATCTTCACTGCAACTGCTTCTTCAGTTATTCTATTCACTGCAAGTTGAACTCTAAAACAAGAAAAAAAAAGAATTATAACATTTTAGAACATTTGAATTTCATTTCTTTTAAAACTTCAAAAGACTGGGATGCAGATTTAGTTCAGTGGCTCTGCACCTGCCATGTAAGCATAAGGTCCAGAGTTCAATCCCTGGTACCCAAAAATAAAAAACTTTGAAAGATTAAACATGACACATTGAAAACTATTTTACATTTACTGTTTTTTCCACCAAAGAGAAACCAAATAAATGGTTTCTGACATGTTCTCAACAGGTATTTTGGAAATGTACAGTACTATAGCTAACATTCCAAAGAATTCTTTATGCAGTACACACAAATTATTTCACAAGTGCTTGATAAAATAAATTGATAGCAATTTTAGGTTATGTCACACAGACTTCTAGTCATATCATTTTAACAATATTTATTAATCTCATGCCTGTGCTAGCTATTCTACTTTAGCGTGGATAATATTACCATTTATAGATGTGGAAAGAGAGGCACATACGAAGAAGCTTTCCTAAGATCACAAAACAAGATCAGTGTGTGATATTAAGAGTGAGGATTTCGAATCAGGCAAGCTGTGCAATAATCCGCTCATTTAATCACTATGCTTAAATCCCAAGAGTATTTGATTGTTGGAGAAAACGATAACTTACAAGATGAAGCGGGGTAGGCAGAGGGAGGGCGGAGAAAAACAGAGGTTAGGAAAAATATTAACTTACAAGTGACTGTATAACTTAACTTGATAAGTCTTGATTTCCAAATGCAGAGATCAATTCCCTAAGGCACCACTGTGTTACAATTCCAAAACAACAAATACACACTCAGACAGGACCACAGAAAACTAAACAAAGCATTAAGGCAAGATAAAATTAGGGCTCAAACTCACTCTCCATAGGCACCTTCTCCCAGCGTTTGCACCAAGTCCCAGTCTTCCACAAAAGGTACTGCCATGATTCCACCAAGCACCCGGCTGTAAAAGGTAGGAAGCCAGAAAGTATGGGGGATGAGTGCAAACTCTGAACACCTGGAAAATACTAGGCTCTAACTCTGGCCAAGATTCCCTACAACAGCTCTCGGTTTCTACTTACACCTCATACTTATCAAGTTTTAAACCACAAGCAAGGGCTGTTTAGGCTTTTTGTCATGTAAATCACTCACACTGGAGGCTAAGACTGCCCTCCTGAGGCCTCACAGGAAATTAAATACAACGGTTGGGAGGAGCTGGGAGACAGAAGGTTTCCGGAGAAAAACTGTGGAAGGGGGAGGGAGCAGTGAGGGTCTAGGAAGAGTAAGACGTTGGGCTAACGGAGGAGGCCGGGAAGACTAGTGCTTTCGCAGCCCCTCCTACCCCCAGCGCGGAACCAATTCGCACCCGTACCTTACCCGTCCCAAAGGCCAGGAGGAGCGCGGGGCGGGGCCAAAATGCCTGAGAAGCGGAAGGAAAAACTGGGACCCTCAAGACGGCGGTCCCAATCTCGGAGGGTACTGGCTCCTGTCCCCGCCCCCCCCACTAAAGGGGCCGTGGTTCCACACCCCTCCAGCCTCCGAGACCGTCCCTCCGCTCGTTTCCAGTTAACAGTCTTTCCTTGCTCCTCTTCTCTAATCTACACCCCTAACTCCTTCTCCAGATTCCTTTCCCACCCCACTCGCAGCCTCTCCTCACCAGGGTGTCCTTTGGCTGCCACCACAGGAATCCAAATGCAGCGCTTTTCCCGCCAAATTTGACTGCGTCGCGCTATCGCAAATGCGCGCGTTTGCCGTAAAGCAGGGCTGCGCGCGTTCCCGCGTCCCTCTCTTTCGGAGGGGCAGCTCTCAAAGACCAGCTTTCGGAGTCTTTCTCTCCTGCCTTGAGTTCACCCGGACAGACCCGGTACTTAGGAGGTCGGGGGCAGACCCTGGCTGGAGAGATTTAAACACAGTGGGCTGCACTGGCGCGAAATGAACAGTGTGGCTCCAGTGTGGATCTTGGCTGGGCGGCACCGAGGCCTCTCCCGGAGACTGCGCACAACAGTGGGCTGCGCTCCCGCCGCCCTGGTCCCGGAAACACTGCGCGGATGCCGAGTAAACTGACGGCCAGGACGGCTGAGCAGCTGCCAGCAGGACTGAGGGTCAAGCTCAGGCGGTACCGCGGGAGGCACCCACAGTATCTTAGCGCAAAGTTGGCCACAGCTGTTGGGCGTTGTTCTGAGAAGAATGATTTGTGGTGGGAGCGAAAAAGTAAAAATAAATGAATAAATAAATAAATGGGGTGGGGGCAGGGTTACCGATTTTGCCTTGTCGGTGCAGGCTCCAAAAAAGTAGTTTATCCTTTTTTGAAGGAAGACTTATCTGTGTAGATACTGCGAGCTTCCTCATTCTTAATGTATTAGGAATTAAGGAATTAGGAATTCTTAATGTATGAAACAACGCAAAGTAAATACAGTAATCAAGAAAAGTAATTTCTCAACAAAGGGACTTGAGAACACAGTCTGGAAAACTGAAGTAGGTATTCCCCAACGGTAAAAAAACCAAGAACTCAAGGTATACCAAGATGAACATTAAATTCCCTTTACTCAAAAACGGGCTACACTCAACATAAAACTAGCGATAACAGTCACTGAGCAAAATACATCTAAAACACATACTCCCCAAAAAAGCACAAACCTACTTTAAAGATGCAAAGTGTTAGAACAAAATTTGAATCATGGCATCCATTTTAAGACTCATTATAAAGCAACCTTTCTAAATCATCGCATTTCCTCTGCTGAAAATAAAAGAATACAAAGAAAAGAGTTTCACAGTTCCTAAATGCCTAGATGGAACTACCTTTTTAGCCTGAAAACAATAAGGTATACAGATTCAGACACATTACCAGTTACAGTACACATGAGAATGAATAGCTTCTTTTCCCTCTGAAACTTATCTAAAATAATAGTAAAAGATAATTTTTTAAAAAGTAAACTCTAAGAATAGAGTATGTGCTGGGCATGGTGACACGCCTGTACTTCCAGTGCTTGAGAAGCTGAGGCAAGAGGATTGCCTGGAGTTAGAGGCCAACCTGGGCAACAAAGTAAGTTTGAGGACAGCCTGAACTATAGAACAAGACCCTGTCTCAAAAATTTTTTTAAAAAAAGAGAAAATATTTTGGAAAATAGAAAGTTTTAGATGAAAGGTAACTTTAAGATGAATCCCAAAGGTAGCAATGGGACCTAGTGAGACAAAGCAATTTGATTTATATCATAGAAAACTCAAAAGCTCCTATTGAACTGGTGACACCAAGAAACTAGAGTGAATGTAGGGCAAAAAGAGGATAGGTTTAAAGACTATATTGATAGAGAACTTTTGTAAATAATCTAAAAACCTACAAAATGTTAGGAAAATGTAACATGACTTCTCCTGTCTCTTAACAGCAGTCTGCTTTTAGTTCAAAATTAACAGACATCGGAGGCATTGACCTTGAAATGGGTCATCTGGCCTCATCCCTGACCTTGAACACCCACTTTTTGTGCACCAGGATAGCTAGACAAATCTTAAAGTAAACTCACTAACTACAAGGAATTGTTACGTCTGGGTTAAAGTTAACTGTCTTGTTACTGTAATTTCTACAAGGGTAATGTGAACTGAGGAAATGAAATGTAACCACCTGAATGATATTATAGTGGTAAAAGAAGCTGCAATCCAGTACAGGTCCAATCACTGGCACTGCTCTTAGTGCAATTGGCCTTTTTGTCCATAAAATAAATGTATTATTTTACTTCCATTCTGCTTCTCTGTACATGTCATTTGCCATTTCCTTCTCTAACAATATGAAAAGCAAATAGGCCTGTGCTTATCCTTACTAGTTCATGGAAGGAGCTAACTGCCATTCCCCAAGGCTGGGTCAAGATTTAAGGGTAAATACATTATATTTGAACTGGAGAGAAACCGTAGGTACCTCACTGAAAATAGACAAGTATATACACTGATGGTTGGGCATACATACCTTCTTTCCCTACTCTACCACCAAAAAGCTGACAGCTAGCTTCTATCCTTGAATAAGAGGATAAACAGAACTTCTTTTTATCAAAGGAAAAAAAAAAACAAAAAACAAACTAAAGCCCCTAGTATTAGAGATTTTCCAATGTAAAATCCCAGGCATCCATAAGCAAACACCCCATAGCTACCACCTACAACCCTTCCTGTCAGCCTCTTATAGTCCCTCTCTTAACAGTAGACAACCAAGATTCTGAGAAATACTTTAATTGAGAAAATGTCGAAACAAAGGAATATTCAAACAAAAAAGCTCTTGAACATTGTAAATGTGAACAGGAAAAAAAAGAAGAAAAAGTACAGTATTTTACATAGGTCAAAAAATAGTTGAAATCTCCCAAAAGGAAGATGGAAAATAGTAGCACAAAAATAAGAGAATATTAGAAGATTGATTCAGAAAGGTCCAACATCCATAACTATAAGAAAATGCAGAATTCACATATAACACAGTACTTCCCAGACAGAACTTGACTTGCATTCATAAAGTCCAAAGTATGCAGCACAACTTGTGACCCACTCAAGATGCAACACTGGGAAATGTTCTGACATACACAAGGAGAAGATCCTAAGCAGTCAGAACGGAGGGTGGGTGTGAAGAGATTAATTAACAATCCAGGGCCAGGGATTTAGCTCAGTGGTGCTGCTGCCTGTCTTGCAAATGCAACGTCCTGAGTTTGATCCCTGGTACCAAAAAAAAAAAAAAGATGGGAATAACAATCCATTTCTCAACCCTGTTTGGAAGATAGACAAGAAGTAAACAGCTACATAATCCTGAGGGAAAATTATTCCCAATCTGGAATCCTACACCCAGCCAACCTATCGAGTGTAACGAGATATGCAAGATCTCAAGAAATTTGCTGTATCTTCCACATTTCCTCAGGAAAGTACTTAAAGATGGTAAGTGAAGAAATAAACCAGGCACGGTGGTATATACCTATAATCCCAATACTCTGGGAGGCTGAGACAGGAGTATTAAAAGATCCAAACCCAGCCTGGGCAAATTAGTGACTTACTGAGACTGCCTCAAAATAAAAAATAAAGAAGGGCCATATCAGTGGAAAGCCCTGGTACTACCAAAAAAAAAAGAAAAAAACTCAAAAGATTGAAAAATACACACATGAAAGATTAGGAGAAAACATTGTACTGGTCCTAAAAATAAATAAATTAAAAATACACACACACACACACACACACACACACACACCAGAAAAATAATACAACCCAGCAGACCTAGAGAGTAAACCAGTTCAAACTGGAACATATCAAAGTAGAAGACTCCTTAAGAATTAATACCTAATGTGCTAACATATCAAGAGGCTGGCACAACTGAAGGAGAATTGGGGGTCAAATTAGTGAAAATTCCAAAAACAACTAAAAAGTTTGTAGGAAAAGTAGTAACAGAATATACTATGTGTATTCATTGAGAATAGGCAGAAGATAAAAAGTACTGATCTTACTTAAACAGCTCTAACTATAATAGAGGTGAACAGAATAGAAAAATTAGAGCTGGGGATGTAGCACTGTGGTGATATGCCTGCCTGGCAAGTGCAAGGTCTTGGAATCGATCACTGGTACCACCAAAAAAATAAAAAAATTTAAAAAATTTAATATGTGTATTCATTGAGAATAGGCAGAAGATAAAAAGTACTGATCTTACTTAAACAGCTCTAACTATAATAGAGGTGAACAGAATAGAAAAATTAGAGCTGGGGATGTAGCACTGTGGTGATATGCCTGCCTGGCAAGTGCAAGGTCTTGGAATCGATCACTGGTACCACCAAAAAAATAAAAAAATTTAAAAAATTTAAAAAATATATATATAT